GGGTTTTCTAATTCACATTAATATGATATTTTAAGTTCTTATGAAAAGTGTGACAAATAAAATAATGTAAGTTTTGCACAAGAGATGAAATACCATCGCTAAGGCCAGCAAAAAGTTGCTGGGTGGGTAAACGCCAACTTGGAAACAACGATATACAAGGAAATTGTATTTCGAATGGTTAAAAGACACATAAAATCATCATGATTCATGTGTGTCTAAAATTAATCATACTACAAATGCACTTAAACTGATGAAAGATTAGAAGTAATGTGAGTTTGCCTAGGCCAATTGTGATGTGGTCATAATTAGTTTCCATTGACGGGGCCTATGGGCCTATGGGCCTATGACTCAGTAGTAGAATTGATCAAGTGTGGATACTTCTTTGAAATAGGAATAATATTGTTTTACTATCCCTAATCAATAACGCTATAATAGGCGTGATAACTTTCGTATCATAGCATTATTAAGTGATATCCTTGTTGAACTCAAATTTTTCTGAGTGAAAGACAAGTTGGGTAAGAAATTGCAGCCTTGGGCCAAACCCAATACATGTCTTATCCGAAAAGCAATATGCCTTGTGATATGACTTAGGCCAAAAGAAGGAAACCTGGAGCTCCGTCTATAAGTGGAGGTTTATGTAGTGGTGATTATGGTTAGTAAGATAAAAAATGAGGACTGATTTTCCCACTCCCTTTTTATCCACTTACAATTTATTTTTCTAAACAAAAAGGGGGTGAGAAAATTATTTACCTAAAAAATAAGGGAGGTGATTTTCCACTCCCTTTTTCTCCACTTACATTCCCTTTTACTTTTTAATATTTTTTAATGTTCTTTATCTTTCCTAGACTACCCTTACCCTACATTAAGGTTTTGATAACTGAAATTAAGAAAAGTTAACATAAAATAAAACATAAAACATAAAAAATATTTGAAAAATGGATAGAAATGTGAGTATTTGTAGTTCAAATTCTTAGTTTTTTTAAACCAAGTATGTGAGTATTATTTATCTTTGTTGTAGTTAATAGATAATAAATTTTTTGAGCTAACATATAAATATGGTAGAAGAACCAAAGAATGCCACTAACTAAACCGTCATTAGGAGCTTAGATATGCAGAGAGCAAGGTATGCATAAGAGCAAGTCCACCCATGAAGGCTAAGGCAAGGGGTGCCACTATTCATGTGAATAGTGGCAGCCTTGCCTTAGTTGGTGTTGAGGCCCAAAAAATCCATGGTTGGGCCCGAATAAATTCCTAGCCCAAGACGATATATTATTGGAAAAAGACCCGATTTGGAATACACAAAAGTCTGCCATGCACAAGCCACACCCTGCATGCCATGCCAAATAAATAATCCGTCATGCTAAGAATCAAGATTAAGATTATAAAATGCATTAGCTTTGCAAATCCATGCTAATTATCCCATCAAGCATAATGATTAAAAGCGTGCCAAGCAACATGTCATGCCAAGCGGGAAATTATTATCCCACACCCAATCGCACTACAAGCTTAAGTGGGCCCAAAAGCCACTCCAATGCTCGGGGCTTGCTTGAGTGGGTTGTGGTATGGATGGTAACGAGTTGTCATGGGGCCCATCGATGGGTCGAGAAATGGAAGTCTCGGGTCGCTTGGGGCCTCGGGACTCAAGCCCATTTTTAGGCCCAAACGTGGGTAAGCACAAGAGGGAAAATAGCCCATTGCTTCAATTGTAGTAGCCCAACCAAAATAGCCCATTGCTCCAATTAGAATAAGCCAACCAAAATAGCCCATTGCTTCAATTAGAATAAGCCAACCAAAAAGCCCAACATTTGATAAAGTCATCTCATCCATTAGATAGATCATGTGGTTGTCTTAAAAAGCCCATATAATTAGAATAAAAAAGCAACACCAGCTTTGGCATTCGGCTGAAAGACAAAATCACGCAGGGGCTTGGGGAATCCACATGTAAAGGGCTGTTGGGAGGCTAAGGAACAAGTTCCAAGTGACGCATTAGCTTTGCAAATCCATGCTAATTATCCCATCAAGCATAATGATTAAAAGCGTGCCAAGCAACATGCCATGCCAAGCGGGAAATTACTATCCCACACCCAATCTCACTACAAGCTTAAGTGGGCCCAAGCCACTCCAATGCCCGGGGCTTGCTTGAGTGGGTTGTGGTATGGATGGTAACGAGTTGTCATGGGGCCTATCGGTGGGTCGAGAAATGGAAGTCTCGGGTCGCTTGGGGCCTCGGGACTCAAGCCCATTTTTAGGCCCAAACGTGGGTAAGCACAAGAGGGAAAATAGCCCATTGCTTCAATTGTAGTAGCCCAACCAAAATAGCCCATTGCTCCAATTAGAATAACCCAACCAAAATAGCCCATTGCTCCAATTAGAATAAGCCAACCAAAAAGCCCAACATTTGATAAAGTCATCTCATCCATTAGATAGATCATGTGGTTGTCTTAAAAAGCCCATATAATTAGAATAAAAAAGCAACACCAGCTTTGGCATTCGGCTGAAAGACAAAATCACGCAGGGGCTTGGGGAATCCACATGTGAAGGGCTGT